TTGGAGATGTAAGATTACCTAGTATGTTTGGTTTGGACTACAAGAATATAAAATTGATCTTGTTTGGTTAAGAGTTATATGGATCAATTTATTATAATATCTTAAAAGATAAAAACTACAAATAAGAAACTCCATATCCAAACATCCAAACATCATATTAATAATCAGACAGAGAAGCCTGCATGGGTAGCTCAACTGGTCACAGACAGAAAAGCCTGCATGGGTAGCTCAACTGGTCACAGACAGAGAAGCCTGCATGGGTAGCTCAACTGGTCAAGAAGCCTGCATGGGTAGCTCAACTGGTCAAGAAGCCTGGTCAAGAAGCCTACATGGGTAGCTCAACTGGTCACAGAGAAGTGGAAAGAAGTGTAGGAAAGACTAGACAAGAATACCTCCTAAAGGAAACCAACTTTTAGCTGCTAAACATGTTAAATACCTCCTAAAGGAAACCAACTTTTAGCTGCTAAACATGTTAAGGAAACCCTAACTTCATTCTAATGAATGAAGCATACTTTGCATACCACTAATTGTAATGTCCTACCTCACTTATAGGAAAGACTATAAAGACAAGAATACCTCCTAAAGGAAACCAACTTTTAGCTGCTAAACATGTTAAGGAAACCCTAACTTCATTCTAATGAACAAAGCATACTTTGGATACAACTAATTGTAATGTCCTACATCACTCCTCTCGGGGAAGAATCATTGCAGAAATATCTTTTTGTACCCAGAAGACAATGGCAGAAGTTAAAGAACAGGTGGAATTATGTCAAGCTCATCTTGGCAAAAGTGAGGGAAATCAATATCACCATAACAATGATATATTGGAGATACAAGAAAACGACTAAGAAGAGAGACCGAGTATCTTTCAAAAGAAAGAAACATTTCATTCCAATTCCAATTAACAACTTAGACTACATGTCCGCTTACTTCCCCTTTACTTAGTAGGCTAAAGGTCTACATTGAAACCAACCACTATAAAAGACTCTGTAATCCATATATATATTAATATATACTTCAGATCTGGCTGCTGCCCGAGCAGCAAAAAGTCTGAAGGCCACACTTAAACATCAAGACTTCATCTTTTAGTACTTTCTACAAGAAAAATAACAGCTTGATAGAATTAAACCCATTGCATCATTGTTCCTAATATAGTCTAACTGAGAATATAAAGAAGTGATACTGTTTCCTAATCATCAATAAACCATCCATCCCAGAAATCTAAGAAATGCATTATTAATAGAATCCAAAAGACATCAAATACTGTATTTCATTTCTCTAGCAACAGCTATCAGTTATGATATTAAAACAAAAATACTAAAGTCGTTTCATACTTGATAAAACTCATTTATAAAAAAATTAACAGAGAAGGAAGCAAAACAAGTACAGCGTCAGCGAAGATAAGCTGGGATCTTAATGCGAACGAAAAGCATACTCATGACATAAGCAATGAGAACAGAAGCAACTCCCGCGGATGCGAAGGAGATCCTTACACTTTTAGCACGGTTGCGATCCAGTGCTAGGTCGAGAAGCACGATCCCAATTCCACCCAGGACGAACATGAAGCCAGACGAGAGGCCTTCAATGATGTACTGCCCGTTGACCCGACCCGGCATGAACACGACGGGTCGAACGGCCCCAGTGAAACGGTCCTGCGTGGATCCGATGCCGGGAGGCTCGACAATGACGTCGTAGACGATCCCGGAGACGACCATGAAGTAGGTGAGGAGGATGAGGCTGTAGACGGTCATGGCGGAGGGGAGAGTCAGCGACGGCAGCTTCAGGCGGAGACGAGGCGGCCGGAGGAAGGAGTACGGGAGGATCCTGAGCAGGTGGAAAATTGGGTCGATGGAGAAGTCGCCGGCGTGATCCGCGGTGCCGCCGGTGGCGGAAGAGCCTAGGGTTTCCGATTTCGGTGGCATTTTTCGAGCTCACGACTTCTTTAGTTCTCTGATCCGAGTGAGACTGATGTATTGAACGACTCTTTTGTTATAGAGCTGATGAGTTCATTTCTAACCATTTCGGTAAAAACAAACTAACAAACGGTTAATTTTAAATATATTGGGCCATGTGGAAATCACATATCAGATTTTACCCTTTAATCCAGGCCCAATATGGATTGGGCTTTCATTATAAAACCACCCAACATTCATCTCCATGACTCCATCTCTTGAGTATGCAAATTATGCTCTGAGCACGTGCCCACCATGCACATGATGCGCACGAATCTATATCCATAATTTTAATACTGCACTGATTTAATTTAAAGTATAAATTTTAGCTCACCAAGATTCTAGAAATTATGGATCTACAGTATAAAAATTATGAATTTACAGTATAAAAATGGACCATGGTCCATACAATTATGTGGACAGAGTGACTAATCCCCTTGTTGAACTGTAAGTACCTCTCTTTGGGTGGGACAGTTGGCCTGAAATTTAAAGGCTGCTCAATGCCCAAAATCAAGGATCAAACCCTTGACCTTTGGTTAAGAATAAATGAGTCCCTTCCACTCAACCGCACCCCGGATTACTGGCTCCAACTCATGCTAGACTTTTGCAATGTCCCATTTTGTTCTACATGGCCAAAAAGGTCTCTTACCAATTTTAGAGAAACATTACTGTTATCAAACCCATGTCGTTGTAAATGTGTTTCAATTGTTAAAGGAAACAATTGCTTTAGCTAGGTTTCTCACTCTTGCATTATAACAATATTGTTTTTGTGCATTCATTCATATAAATATATAATACTTCCACATAATATTTTCTTATTTTTTAAATCTCAAATATATAGTACTAATAGAAATTGTTGCATTAATACGCCAGTCAGTTATTTTTCCTTATTTTGTCCTATTTTACCCTATTTTTAAAAATATACCAACCTTCTTTTAATATTTGTTTAATTATAATAAGCGTTACTACATCATAAGTCTCGTTAAAAAATATAATATATGGTTACACAAATTACAGATCATCCTCCTAGTAATATCAAAAGATAATTTATGAGGGGAGGTTTGGTCTGTATTTTTATATTTGATTATGTTTCAAAAGAAAAAAAAAAAAAAACACATATGGAAATAATGTTTTTTATAATAATGAAATAATGAATAGTGAATGAAAAATGTGTGGCTGAGGAGTCTCTGTTTGTTATGGCGCCTTTTCCTGTAAGCTGTGGCTGCGAAGCAGAGCCGATCCCTGCGCGTGTACGCATTTTGGAGCCAACCCAAGTAAAAAAGAAAAAATTATTTATTTACTAATAATGTCATTTGTAAAAAAAAAAAAAAAAAAAAAAAAAAAAAAAAAAAAAAAAAAAAAAAAAACAGAGCAACCCCATTTTTCTTGATTTCTTGTAAGGTTAAACATGAGGTGAAAGAAAGAGAGTATAAAAGAGAGGTTGTCTGGCAAGAGAGGTTTTTTTTTTTTTTTTTTTTTTTTTTTTTTTTTTTTTTTTGGTGTGGGATCCACTAAGAAAACAAGAAAAATTTAAAAGTTGAGGTTGATGCGAGTTAAGCGTTAGTTTCACACACAGTTGTGTACGCCCCAGCTGGACGCGTTAATATCTGTTTCATTTTTTTTTTTTGCTCTCCCCCATTTTCTCTATACTAATCAGTCTTGCAAAAAGATAATCATTAAAATACCAAACTATTGCTATTGATATAAATGGACGTTAACACTTAAGTGTTGTACTTTGATTATGAGGAAGTCCACATCACTACTCGAAAGTATTTTTGGATGAAAATAGTTTTGTGATCATAATTTGCAAATGATTTAATGAGGTAAATCAACCTAAGTTGTTCATAAATAATTGGTTCAAATCGAGAAAATTAGTGGACAATTTTCACACATATAGAGTTAAATTTTGAACATTGTAATTACCAAGTCAACTGTCTAATATAATATACTCGGTTAGAGTTGCCCCCAATATAGTGGTATCCTAATTCTACCTTTATGGTGATTGATAATGGCATGTTAAATTTGATAATAGTTGACCACTTACTAAATTGCTCTGTTAATAATGTGTGAATCTCAATATACAATAATCACATTTTACTCATTAAGCAACCCCTTCTTGATTATTTTTAAGTCAACTTTCATTAATAAAATAATATACATTGATGGGGAACATTGGAACAATATGAATGAATTGAAAAATGAGATGTAATAAAAATAAGGATTGATTCATAATTTTAACAAATGGCTTTAATATACTTCTGAACAGATAGGGAAAACACCCCCCCCCCCCCCCCCCCCCCCCTCCCCCCAACAACATAATTACTTGTTTGTATGTACATGTAAGTTACGTTACACATAGTCATCAATATCTAATACACGGAAAAAAATGCATTCATCAATTATGGAGTTACCAAAACTATAATAAATGATGCTAAGGTGAAAATAGGCTCTTGGGGTGGTAGAAATTTCAGAATGTTTGAGTTAAGGTAAATATAAAGGTATTTACATACTGGAAAAAGTTTTTATACTAAGTTATTATTAAGCATAATTTTGAGATAATTGTGTAATTGTTTATAAGATTGATATGTTTTGAGATTAAAAGATTGACATTTAAACAAGAAGTAGGAAATCAATAATGGGTGTAAGCGAAACATATTTATAAAGAGCAAAATAAAGTTAAAATATTATATGAAGACTAACTGGTCAATTTCTTATCGAAATGTTGCTAATCTGTCAGTTTATAATTAAAAATTTGGATCTTGATGCACTAAATTAATATATTAATGTGTTTAATTATAACTTTTAAAATTTTGAAAGCCTAATTGACTTCTTACACAAAGTTAGAGAGTTTATTTGACCATTTCTAAAACATTATAATGAGATTTAGTGAATTTCGATCCTTACGCTCCTTTGCGAGCGTAACAAGAGCCACTCCCCTACGCATTTTTGTTTCTTCTGAGCGAAAACGCCACATCTCCTGTGCCCATGCAAAACCATCACCCCACCCCCCTAAGCCGTCATTTACAGTTAATACTCATTGCTCTCAATCCAAATTCCCGCAATTTGCTTACTTGATTAATGTTGGATTTCATCTATTTTTTACGTTTCCATAATTACCCTCTTTAATCCATCCTCATCTTCTCAACTAAACCCAAGCCAATCCCTTCCTTTATATACACCTTTGTATTTTTTCTGTTTTTATTATTTTATTTTTCCCAAACCCAAACGCCTCTCTCTCTCTCTCTCTCTCATCTGTGTTCCGTTGGAGTAACGTGCTGCATTCCGAGCTCCAACGCCGTCGTTTTCTGCTGGAGAGACCAATGGCGGCTCCTCAGACGCCCGTGACGACGCCTCCGGCGTCCTTATACGTCGGCGACCTCCACCCTGACGTCACCGATGACCACCTCTACGACGCCTTCTCCGAGTTCAAGAGCCTCGACTCCGTCCGCGTCTGCCGCGACTCCTCCACCGGTCGCTCACTCTGCTACGGTTACGTCAACTTCATTTCTCCTCAGGATGGTATATCACTCCACCTCTGTGTGCCTGCTTGTTGTTCTGTTTACGTGTTAGCCGTGTGATTGTTTTTATACGTAAATTGTTTTTATACGGCAATGCAGATTGATCTGATCGGTTTCTGGTGCTCCGTTTGGTTTGAATTTAGTTGATTAATAGTATTTTTTTTGCTGCTGAATTTTGATTCAATCCTTGTGTTCAATTTTTTGATCAATCAATCATTGGATTTAAGAAGACACGTGTGTTTATGATATAGAGGAAATGTATAAACATGTGTGTCTGCATACCAATGAAAATTCAGTAAACCTCAGTTTTCTATGATCTCAGTTTGTTTATCAATCTAGTCCTGATTCTCTGATGCTTACTTTGATAAATCGATGAAGAAAAGGCTAAACGGTGGAGATCATGGTGCCTGTGTAGTGTGTACTCCAATTATATATGGTAGAGATCATGGTGACTTTGTTCAATTTGACTTATTTATAGTGCCTGCTCTGTGTTTCTGTACTTCCTTCTATATCTGATTGTTAATGCATTGCAGTGGAATTGCCTTGCGAGCATTTAATTTTGTTAATACCTATAGAATATAGTACCATTCAGTTTCGTGCTAGGTCTTTTGATAATTAGCATTTCTGTTACTCCATAAGTTATAGTCATTATGAAAATTGTCTGACAGTAAACTGCATATATGATTGCAAATATTGGATTATTGATTCTCAATAACTGTTTTTTTTTTTCTTTTTTGTCTGTTGCATGTATAATTAACTACCTCTGACTTTCTTATTAATTGCTGGTTTTGTTGTCTAAGTGCTGGACATTGTTATTTTTCCATGCAATTGCTTTAAAGGTTAAATGGGAAAGTTGTTAAGCATTTGATTTTTTGGTTGTAGACATGTACCTTATTCTTATGTCAATGGCCATTTAGGATTTGTGCACTAGCTTTTTATTAACCAATTATTGATTGTCAATCATGTGGCTGTACATGATCAAAGTCTTGGAATCTTTGTTAGCAGCTTCCCTTTTCTAAATTTATTGTTTTATTTTTATTTTTTAAAAACATGTTGTAGCTGTACAAGCTATTGAGCTAAAAAACCACTCAACTCTGAATGGAAAAGTGATAAGGGTTAGTTGGTCTCGACGCGATCCTGATATTAGAAGAAGTGGAGTAGGGAATGTATTCGTTAAGGTACATTAGTACATTCTGTATCTATAATCTTCTGAAGATTCTAAATATGTCTGGTTTGAAATGTGTAATTGAGGTTCACAATTTTGCTGCAGAATTTGAGTGATGTTATCGATAATACAAAGCTGCAAGAAATGTTTCTGAGGTTTGGGAATATTTTATCTTGTAAAGTTGCCATGTCTGATGATGGAAAAAGCAAAGGATATGGCTTTGTCCAGTTTGAGTCTGAGGACTCTGCTATTGCTTCTATTGAGCAGCTCAATGGCTCTCTTGTTGAGGGAAAGCAGCTGTATGTATCATTCTCTATTTGTTGGCCAATATTGCAAATTTGCAATTGCTCTTTTTTCTTATATCCACACTTGTATATGTATATCTGAATGTTTTATACTGACTTTTTGAATAGGTATGTAGGCAAGTTTATCAAAAAGAGTGAGCGCATTTTACTAAGTCCCGATGCTAAGTACACAAATCTTTACATAAAGAACTTGGATCATGACATCACAGTGGAGCATCTCAGGGAGAAGTTTTCTGAATTTGGGAAAATTGCCAGCTTGGCCATCTCAAAAGATGTGAATGGAGCTTCAAAAGGTTTTGGATTTATTTGCTTTGAGAATCCAGATGATGCAAAGCAAGCACAAGAAGCTATGGATGGAACACAACTTGGTAAGTCATGTGCTGTTAATGATGTCAACATGTCATACTCAAATGTTTTATTGACTGCTGTACCTTTTAAACATTATATGTGTGCATGAATAGGCTCGAAGAAGCTTTATGTTGCTAGGGCACAAAAGAAAGCAGAGCGTGAACAGATCCTGCAGCATCAGTTTGATGTGAAACGGAAAGAACAAATAATGAAATTCCAGGTAGCTTTATTTCTGATTTGATTACTTGAATGGTGCACCATCTGTCATAATATTTTCTCACTGTAGCTCACTTGAACAATTCAGGCTTCAAATGTGTATGTCAAGAATATTGATGATGGTATCACAGAAGATGAGCTGCAGGAACTTTTTAGCCAATGTGGCTCAATTACTTCTGCAAAACTTATGCGAGATGATAAAGGAATGAGTAAGGGCTTTGGATTTGTTTGCTTCTCCACACCTGAGGCAGCCGTTAAAGCTGTAGCTACTCTCCATGGTTAGTATATGTGAGATTTTATTAGTTGGATTTCTTTGCTTTTATTATTATTATTATACTGTTATTATTATTTTGTAGTTCTGCAGAATTTCAAGGCAGATGCACATATCTCTGATTGGGGCAAATCTTTTTGCATGTGTATTCAGTAGAAGTTATCTGTATTTGCCTTCAGTTATTGTGCAATCAAGTAGCTCCTTTCCCGCTAGAAGGGCAAAATCTGGTTTTCAGTATTGAATAAGAAGAACCGGCATTTCTTATTTGCAGAATTTGAAGATATATTTGATTCCATACTAATATTCTTCACATTCAAAATACTTCAAGACTTTATTAGTTGCTCAATGAATTCACCTCTAGTCCTTTTTAGTATTATTATTAAAAATTTACTGCGGTCACAAAAACTATGTATTGTCTGATTTGTCTTTTTGAGCTGTATTAAATCACCATAGCACTTTTTGAATTTGGTGTATGTGGACAATCTGCAGGATTTATGTTCCACCGAAAGCCTTTATATGTGTCATTTGCTCAGAGGAAAGAGGAAAGACAAGCACAGTTACAGCTACAGTATGCACAACGTATGACTGGACCGCAAGGATCTTCAGCTATTTTCCCTGGCAGATATCCGCCTATTTACTACCCAGCACATGGTATTGTTCCACCAGTATCAGTAAGACCGGGTTTGGTGTATCAGCCTCTAGGTATGAGGCCAAGTTGGAGAGCTAAGGGCTTTGTAAATTCAACTAGACCTTCCTTTCAAACTTCTCCAGTTCCTATGGTTTGTCCTCGCCATCATTCCTTTTTTTAATATGTTCATGTTAGTCAATCGACATGCAATTTAATACTCTTTTGCATGCTCAATGATCTGTATTGAGTTTCACTATGACATTGATTGGTTTGCCATAAATATATATATCTTTTCCAGTTTCCCAATGCTACTAGACAACATAGACAGAACAGGGGAAGGGTGCAGGGAAATATCCCTGCTCAATATGCAGCGCATGTGCAGCCAACTCAATCAGTGGCTTTAGCGAAAGAATCTGTCAATCAGCAGGTAGGCCAAATTTCATTCAATTTTGTTTGTGCACATAAAAATTTTGAGATGTTGATAAGTTTTTCATTTATGGTTCTTTTCACTGGTCAAACCACATTTACTAATCTGTTTCTTAGCTTTTGAAGAACCTGGTGTTCTTTGGAGCTGAAAGATGTGTCTTTCCTAATACACATGCACAATTTGCAGCGTGCTGGGCAGGGGAAATATGTGTCTAGTGGTTCATTGCATGACATGAACAAGGCATCTACAGCGTCAACTGCTGTGCCCATTCCAGATGGATCTGGTGCTGAAGGACCAGAAATGTTGAGTAGTTTGCTTGCTGCAGCTTCTCCTGAGCAGCAGAAACAAATACTTGGAGAACGCCTTTATCCACTTGTCAGTGAACGCAATGTGAGATTCATTTTTATTTCTAATTTCTTCCCTTCTGGCTTTCTCTATAGATCTCCTATCTTATAAACATTCTAATGTAAGAAAAACTTGTTGACAAAGAAAAAGTAAGCATTTTCTATCCTATGTTATATATATATAGCCTGATCTTGCTGCAAAGATTACGGGAATGCTGTTAGAGATGGACAACTCGGAGCTCCTCCTCCTGTTAGAGTCACCAGAATCACTGGCAGCCAAGGTGGAAGAAGCTCTGCAGGTGCTCAAACTCTCTAAGGCTAAAATATCGAATCCGGATGCCATTCATCCTAATTATATTTCTGCCGAGGTTGCGGTCAATTGAGAAAACTCTTTTGTCTTTTTCTTTTATTCAAACATAGAGATTTTGCCAGGCTAGAGATACCATGCGGCATTTATCTCATTTCAGTCCTTTCAAACTGTAGACTATTTCTGTTTCAGCAACTTCGCTAACTTCTCGATTTAGAGTTTTACTTTAGTTTCATCAAAGTCTCTTACTCGCTTAATTAGACCTTTTTTTTTTTTTACTTTACTTTTGTTTTAAAATATACTTGCTATATGTCTACATACCAGAAGATGATTTTAATTTTTATAGGCCCTTCATATATAAAACTACCAAGTCTAATCGTATTCAGCCAGCTTGGGCTAGTTGAATTGAGCTGCCTATTTCCCAATCCTTTCATTTCTTCCTCAAACACTTGCCTTTTTTTTTTTTTGGTAACACAATATGAAGCCTATGGACTAGGAAAACGCGAGGGCAGTGGTGGGCCGTTATATTTTTAAGCTATTGTTTGGAATGATTAAACCTGACAATCAAATCCTATACAATTATAATCAATCTGGAAAACTGTTGATATTATTATCTTTATTGTAAACAATAACATATATATCCGAATTGCTGCAAGTTTTATGTTTAAACCAGAGCCTAATCTTTTGGTTAAATGTAATTCATTGCAGGGAGCTGATGCGCTGAAGTTGCCAATCCAAATCTAAGACAACCAATTAACCAAAGCTCGGGAGGCCTATCTAGTATCTAGATATAAAATAATAATAAAGCACCTTCTCATTATCTTTAGTTACTAACTTACTGACTTACTGTATTTATTATGTACTCCGTATTTGATATATCTATGTAGTGCTTGATGCTTTAGTTTATCACATTAGATTACAGAATCATAAAGATGGCATTTCTATGGACAGCGCTGATTCCTGATAAAAAACGCTAGTGGACTGAAAACACTTAGGCCCAACATTGGTCGAGCCTTTAAAGGCTTGGCTTTACTGAACAAGTTTTAGAATATTATCACCTGTTCCTATTTTGTGAGGTAAACAGTTTTATACACTCCATAAATTACCATCAATTACAATTACAGAAGCCACTAGCAATCTCTAGGAACTAATTCGTCAGCTCCCTGCAGTCACACACACTCTATAGTCATGGTAACAGTGATATCTTTGTATGTCAATGAATTATTAAAAAAAAAAAAAAAAACCACCAATCAACTTGTGAGCTCCTCCATTAAGCCCTGTAAAACGTATAGCTAAACATCATGAGAATTTGATAGTGTTTTGAGTAACCAAAACTGATCTGAAGAGTGGAGAATCACCTGCGCTATATACTGCTCTGCGTCAGTTCTTCTAAGAAACAGAATTGCATGCCGAGCTAGGTTAGCTAACTGATCACTCAGCACAACAGTACCAATGTCCTCGAGGACCCTCACTTTGATGTAGGGATCTTTCGGTGGCACCATATCCTGGAAAAATATTGATAACATGATGATTACAATACTCGTAAAAAGCCTTACCCCCAAGTAAGAGTCTCATAGTAGAGGCACAACTTGGTCCTAGTTCGGATTAGTCTCAGGTGGTGGAGATACTATCATACTAACTACTAAGTGTTATATGCCAAAAAACAATAACCTTCAAGAATGGGGAAGAAGGGGAGAAGAAACTAGTATCCAAAAATGAAATTAGCAAGGAGTTCACATGTCATTAACCAGGCAAAACAGTCCTGAAAGAACTTTGTTGTAAAAAATTCTCTGATTATAAGGTGTAATGTGTTCATGTTGAGAAAAAGTGCCAGAATTTTGACACCTATTACCATATGCTCTATACATATATGTTGTTTTGATGCTTCTGTTGGAAGTGTAATGTCTGAGGATGAGTTTCTTACCACTCCCAAGTCAAGATCAAGTTTTGACATGTACTCCTGTATAGCTTTAGAATGATTCTTGAAATACTCCTTCTCTGAACTACTCAGCTTCTCCTCAATTTCTTCTGGGAGTACCCGCTCAAGGGTCCATCCTAAACTACGAATAACTTCTGCTCGATTGTATCTATTATGGGAAGAAACAAGAGAAGATATGTTAGTGAGGATATGTACCCAGACAACAGCAAACGTCATAATTCACCCATTCAAGCAAAAATGATTTTAGAAAGGCATTTACACATAAGCCATCAGACAGCGTTTATTGCGGATTAAAGACCGGAGATGAATCAGAGAACCATAGTAATCAGCATCTTCAGATGGTTGGCTAGTAGAACTTTCAACGGGACCAGACCTGAAGAAAAAAGGGTACCATTGCATCATAGTAAGAGCAAACATCTGGATAGCATGATTTTAAGGTGGCAACCTAATTTTAACATAAATGGACAATGTTCAAGCAAGTACAGGTCACAAATTGTTCATGTAGAATATCCATAATCATTCTATAAACTTGACCCTAAAGACATTCACTAGTAAACCATGAATAAAACATTTATAGTCATGCCATTTTCTTGACAGAACTTGAAACTAAGATGAAAGAAAACATTAGATATTGAATACACAAAAAGACTGCTGTTCCTACAATGTACTTTCATTATTATCTCCTGGGATCAAAAGGCTGTGGTATCCTATTTAGTTAAGCTTGGAATGCCCAGGTACAATCAATAGCCTTGCTGGAAAACTTGTTTCGCCATTAAAATGGAACAACCTCTTTCCAGTCCCTCCATTTCCATATCATCTCGATAGCCAATAACAAAGTTAAGAATAGTGGAGGCATGGCTTTTAACATAAATGTATTTCGTACAATTTATGCAGGAAGTAATGAAGTTTATCACAACATCACAGGCAGCAAGTGAATTATAGAGTACTATACAAGATACACATCTACAGCAGCATGAAAGGAAACTGGGATGAAATAACACAATAAGAGCATGAAAAAGAACAAACAGGAATTAAAGGAGACTCAGTCAACAAGAAATCCACCCAAAAGAGTTACCTAAGCAGGGATTCAAGATGAAGGAAATGGCTATTACATTCTTCAATTACTTGAGTAAACAGATCACTCTGCATAGGAACAAAACAAATCAAACTAAGGGGCTAGCCAGCCAAGTTGGTCAGTCTGTTTACCCAGAAACACAAAGTTACAAGTTCAACTCTAAGCAAGAAAGGCCTATTGGCCCGGCCGGGCTTACCAAGTGCACACACTCAGGTTTCCCTCTTAGCTCCAAAACAAATCAAACTCATCATAAAACACCCAAGGTATACAGCCCCAGATAGTGGCATAAGAAGAATGGCACTTACATTGTAAGCTGCAAGCTGCCCAGGTTCACCATCAGCAAGTTCTTTGACTAGCTCACTCCCTTTTTTTCCATACATCTTATGCAATCCAGTGATCTGCACGAACACCCTACAAACTGCACCAAAAATCCGTTCTTTTAAGCATTTCATCTAGCACGTAAACTACAATGGTTAACGACAACTAGTTTAGAGCGTAATCCGCTGTAATATAATTGGCCCACGAAGACATGAAAACTTTGAATCCAAACACGACAAATTCTTAATTATCGACGACACAGAACACCTTGAAATCGCGAGATAATGGTGGTTTAAATTGAAGATCGAAACTGCAGGCAAAGATTTCTTATTTTAAAAAAAAAAAACGATGAAAATCAAATTACCTGAAACAGATAGCTGCTTTAGGAGATGGAAATTCTACCGAGATACATGAACTTGCGAACAAAGAATATCAATACGTGGGTCCCCAATACGTGTCGACAGCGAAAAAGAAGACTATGAATGCTTTGGCGGGAATTTATTTGGAGAAGGCGGCAATGCGCATTGACATTTTAATCTGTCAGATGGGCCTCCAACTCTTTAACAATGGCAGAATGCAGCCCATAAAAAAATCACGAAATCTTCTTTCAAAAGGTTGAATTCTCAATCCCAAGGCGATAGAGCATTTGACAGAATGTAAATCACGGTAACTCAATAATTCAGTGAACATAGTCAAAATATCTCTTTTCCCAAATCACAATGACTCAATGATTTAGCTAAGCTTATGCGGGCAAAAATCATGATATCTACCATACTAATAAGATGTCAATAAAGTTTGGTTTATAACAGAAATTAAAATATATATTTCCAGTTATTGATGAAATGAATGATTCAGACACTAACCTAGGGTTTCTCTAGGTTCTCCCGTCGATCAATCAACAAGCTCCCTGCGGTGAAATCCGAAGCGACGAGAGGCAGTAATCTTTGGCCTGCATGCGCGATGACGTCTGTACCAGTGGAACACGATGTGGCGGGAATAACAGCCAGGTGGGCGGATATTGTATTGGAGGAGGAGGCTTCGGCCTTCATGCCGGCCGAAGGAATGGACACGGAGGAGGCGGGTGATGATGTAGAGGAGTGTTGGGGGGTTGTGGGGAGGTTCTTGACACGGAAGCTAGTCAGGTTGGAATTTATGAGTCAGGTCCTGGCATCGGTATGGCAGCCTGTGAGCGGAGTTGAGGCAACGGAGGTAGAACCGGGCAGGTTCCTATTCGTTTTCCATCACGTAACGGACATGGAACGTGTTCTCAATGAGGGGCCCTGGGCTTTTGATAATAGCACGTTGGTATGCAAGTAAGTCCCGGACGGGGTCATGCCGGTTGATGTGGTGTTGAACACGGTGGACCTATGGGTTCAATTGCATGGTTTGCCGAAAGGATACTCGTCCAGCCGGATCTTGGAACAGATTGAAAATTATTTGGGAACGTTTGTTAAGAGTGATGATCGGTTCGACAATGTCCCATGGAAGGTGTTTCACCGGATTAGGGTTTCGTTGTCTGTTGATAAACCCTTGAAAAGGCGGATGAATTTCATTAAACGGGACAAGACGAGTTGCTGGGTAACATTCAAGTATGAACGCCTACATACCTATTGCTATTTTTGCGGGATGCTTGGACATTCATATCAATTTTGCCGTGGGGCCAGGGATTCGAAGCTGCCAGTGGAGGAGTATTTGTACGGCCCGGAATTGCGGGCAGGGGGTGGCCGTGGCCCTAGGCCGGTGGGCGGAAGTTGGCTGCTGCCGCCGAAGCAGCACGCGGTGGGGCGGAATCCGAAGGGTGACCGTGGGCAGGTGGGACGGTCTCCGGGGGTTGGGAACCGGGTTGATGAGGTAGTAGAGGAGGAGGTGGTTGCGGTGGCTAAGCGGCGCCGAGAGGAGGTGGGTGGTGAGGGACGAACGTATGAGGGAAGGGATGTTGTAATGACCGAGCTTTCAAAAAACTTGCAGCAGGCGGGTACTGGTTACCAGACCCGCCCGGATCAATAAGTACCCTAAGCTGGAACTGCCGTGGCTTGGGTAATCCACGGACGGTTCGCGAGATTGTGGACATGGTGTCCCGTAAGCAACCCGACTTTGTATTTCTGATGGAGACTAAAGTGGCACGCGATCATGCAGAGCGATTACGTGTTAAGATAGGTTATGAGGGGCTGTTCTATGTTGATAGTGATGGGTTGAGTGGTGGTATAGCCTTACTGTGGAAGAAGAATTGTACGGCCCGGTTGCTAAGTTACTCAACGAACTACGTTGATGTTGGGGTAACTATTGCCGGCTTTCCAGAATGGCGAATGACGGGTTATTATGGTTTCTCGGAACGAACGAGGCGTACTGAGTCATGGGATCTCTTGAGAGCACTATCGAGCAGGTCAACCCTACCATGGGTTGTCATTGGAGATTTTAATGATTTACTATATCAGAATGAGAAAAGAGGGGGGAATCCGCATCCGAATAGCCTCTTACGCGGTTTTGGGGAAGCCATTGAGGACTGTGGGCTCGCTCAGTTGCCTATGAATGGATATCCGTACACATGGGAGAAGGGGAAGGGGACAGCAAACTGGATGGAGGAAAAGCTTGATAAGGTCTTAGTGATAGATGAATGGCGGGGTGTGGTGACGGGGGCTAAGGTGATGAATCTGAGAACCCGGAAATCTGATCATTCGGCTCTCTTTTTGGGAATCCGTGAGACCGGTGGGGGTGTTGGGCCTGGGAGGAGGGGGTTCCGGTTTGAGATGACATGGTTGCATGATGAGGGACGCAGGAGTGTGGTAGAGCAGTCTTGGCAGGAGGGGAGGAGCCAGGGTTTACAGAACTGTATTCAGTACTGCGGGAACCGGTTAACACGATGGGGTGGGGACCGATAGCATAAGTACGGAAAACGGATCAATGAGCTGACAAGGGAACAGCAGCGACTAAGGGGGCGTACTGACCCGGCCTCGCTTGCAGAGTTCCAGCGCCTAGAACAGTTGTTAAGCTGCACTGAAGCTCAGGAGGATGCCTATTGGAGGCAGAGAGCCAAACAGCACTGGCTTAAGGAGGCGGATGCTAATACGAAATTTTTTCACAGGTATGCCTCTCACCGAAAAAAGAAGAATACTATTTCTAGACTGATGAATGATGATGGGGTTTGGGTAGAGGGGGAGCCTATGAAAAATATTATCTTGCAATATTATAATCGTATTTTTTGTGCTGGAACCCCGGGAACTGGGGAGGGATTTTTTGAGGGGATTACTCCGCGAGTCACACAGGCACAAAATGAGTCTTTGCTGCGGCCTTTTGAATTGGAAGAAGTTAAGGGTGCATTTTTTTCAATGTTCCCGAATAAGGCACCAGGTCCGGATGGAATGAATCCGGGCTTCTATCAGCATTTTTGGGATGTGGTGGGGGGATGTGGTGAGTTTTATAATAAATTGTGTAGAGTCTTGTGATTTTCCGCCCGGGTTGACTGAAACCGATATTGTTTTGATCCCTAAGAAGAACACCCCTGAGCTTGTAACTGACTTGCGCCCTATAGCTCTCAGTAATGTGGTCTATAGAGTTATGGCAAAGATGTTGGCTAATAGAATGAAGCCATTGATGGAAGGAATAATATCTGAGTCACAAAGTGCTTTTATCCCAGATAGACTGATAACGGATAATATATTATTAGCTGCGGAAGTGGGCCATTTCCTGAATAGAAAGCAGTGTGGGGTGGGGGGATGGAGTGCTCTCAAACTGGACATGGCAAAGGCATATGATCGGGTGGAATGGTCTTTCCTCCGTAAGATGATGTTGGCGTTGGGTTTTCATGGTGGTTGGGTCGAATTGATTATGAAATGTGTCACCACAGTATCCTATAATATTCAGGTGAATGGCTTAAGATGTGATCCTATTATACCCACTCGTGGATTAAGGCAAGGGGATCCTTTATCCCCGTATCTATTTATTATCTGTGCAGAAGGACTTTCATTATTATTACAGCAGGCACATACTGTGGGATCATTGCATGGATGCCGGGTAGCGAGAGGAGCCCCCCAATCTCTCATCTATTCTTTGTGGATGATAGTCTTTTGTTTTTTAAAGCCAATGTGGAGGAAGCAGGTGAGATTAAAAGATGCCTATCTGTATACGAGGATTTGTCTGGCCAGGCAGTTAACTATCATAAGTCGAGTATATGTTACAGTAAGAATACAAGTAATGTTGATAGGGAAAATGTGGCTCAGATTTTGGGAGTGACACAGGCTCCGAATTTTGGCAAGTATTTGGGACTCCCCTCTTTTGTTGGAAGACACAAAAGGGCAGTTTTTGCGTATGTTGAGGATAAAATCCGTCAAAGGATTGGGTCATGGAATAAAAAACTGCTCACGCAGGCGGGTAAGGAAATTCTTTTGAAAACTGTAGCACAATCTATGCCTACGTTTTCAATGAGTGTTTTTTTGCTACCTATATCTGTGTGTACGGCGATAGAGAGAATTATGAATCGGTATTGGTGGGACTCTGGAACTGACAGGCGAATACATTGGAAGGCATGGGACAAGTTGTGTATCCCTAAGAAATATGGGGGGTTGGGTTTTAAAGATTTGCGTGCTTTTAATCTAGCAATGCTAGGGAAACAGCGTGGCGAATGTTGACTAAACCTGAGTCCCTGGTGGCGCGTGTGTATAAGGCCCGTTATTTTCCAAGAGGATCTTTTATTGATGCACAAGTGGGAAATAATCTCAGTTTCTGCTGGCGGAGTATCATGGCAGCAAAGAGTATAGTTTGTGGTGGGGTAAGGCGCAGAATTGGTAACGGGGAATCTACACTCATATGGACCCACCTCTGGTTACAGGATGATCATGACCCTATGGTACAGACAGAAATGCCATTATAGTTACAAGGAGCCAGGGTCTCAGGTTTGATTGATCAACAAACGGGTAATTGGGACCCATCAATTCTAACTGATCTATTTCAGCCTAGTGATGTAACAGAGATTTTGAAAATCCCTATCTCACTGGATTATGATGATACCTGGTACTGGTATGGGGACCCAAGAGGGGAGTATTCTGTTAAGAGTGGATACCGGCTAATAGTAGGAAATTATCAAGGAAATAATGGGATATTTACGAAATGGCTACACTTATGGAAGCTCAAAGTCCCACCAAAATGGAAAATGTTTCTTTGGAGAGCCACTAGTGATATATTGCCTACCACTACAAACTGCCTACCACTACAAACTTGCTTATAAAGAGGGTGGATGTGGATCCACAATGTGCCATGTGTGGAATATCTCAAGAGGACACAATGCATGCTTTAGTGTTGTGTGATTATGCAAGAAACATTTGGGAAAAATCCAACCTCACGATCCCCAATATAGTCACAAATGTTTTTCATGATTGGTTTAGTGAACTCTTAAATGTTCTAGACTCTGGTGGAATGTTATATGCAGCAGCAATTCTTTACAATGTTTGGAGAGCAAGGAACATGGCGGTCTGGGAGGCAACGTTACCGCGCCCCGAGTCGGTACTCAAGGCCGCAGCTGCTGCCGTTTTAGCGTGGACGCGGGCGCACCCACTGCCCACGCCCCGAACTGCTATGCTGTCATCCGGGACGGTGGGATCCGGGCAGCATGGCGTCGAGTTGCACACTGCCGAGACGTCGCATGGTCCGCCGAGGAGGCTATGCCGTGTGGATGGGGGTTTTATGCACGAGACGGCCAAAGCTGCATTTGGGGCGGTCTTACTAGACACGAACGGAGGCTACGTCTCGGCATGCAGCGGACCGTTACGAGGATGCTCCTCGCCACTTATGGCCGAGGCGCTCGCATGTAAAGAGGCTCTATCATGGTTGAAGGATCGGGGAGAACAGAATGTCGAGATATATACGGACTGTTTGGCACTGCATCACTATCTTACTACACCAACCGTTGTGCTGCGCACGTACTTAGGCTATGCCATTGACAGCTGCAGGCTTACTTCATCTTTATTTCAGTCTTGTTCGTTTCATTTAATTCCTATATTAGATAATTATTTAGCTCATGCTTTAGCAACTACGGCTTACCAGCAAACTGCTACTATGTATTGGGATCTGCTCCCACCAGACATTCTTTCGGCCTATTTTTAATGAAGTACCATATATATTTCAAAAAAAAAAAAAAAGAATGATTCAGACACTAAGGGTGTGTTTGGTTGGTGGGTTTTGCCCATAGGAATGGGTATGAAAGTGATTGTTGTTGTTTGGTTAATAGGTTTTTAGAATACTACTATGGGTTTCGAATACCCCATCAATTGAAAAACTCATACCCAAATACAATAAGGGTTTCATTCCCTTATTCATTCTTAACCACTACTATTAGTAACCATTCCCATCCACCTTACTACCAAACATGTTAAATACTTTCACCAAAACTCATTACCATTACCAAGTATTTGATACCCATTCCAATTTCAATTCCTATGTGCGAACTAAACACACCCTAAATGTTCAAACTTGATTTGAGTTATTAAACCCAATCTAAATTTAGTGAGGCAATTTTACTTGTAGCAAGTTTGGCTTTGGAAATGAAATAATATTAATGAAAATAGGTCCCATAAAAAATTAGAGATAGTTTTTTCAATCTCACCACTATATTTAATTTACTGCAATGTCCAATATAACCAATTTAATAATAACCAATAAAGTTAAGACCTCTAATGAAAATTAAAAATATTAATTAATTATTAATTGAAATGAATAGTTTATATTATTTAAATTTTAATATTTTTATTATTATTACTTTTTTATTTTACTATCTATTATACTCATAATATCAATATTTTTCTTAAGTATCTTTAGCGTCATGTTAGTGCAAACTTTAGTAACGAAATATTTTATTAACTATTTATTATTCTTTAACTTACTCATTTATTTTCATAAGGAATGACTTACTTCGAACCCCATCCCAATTAAAATTGGTATACTTGTTGAACATATACTATAAATATATTAGCGTGTATTAAAAACATACAATATAAAATTTAACATGAACTTTGATTAATTAATTAAAAATTCATTTCTGTCAGAACGAACAACACGATGAAGCATGGATCACGCCAAACTAGTAAATTATTAATAGAATTTTGTGTTGCAAAAACTATATTGGAGTACGTACTATCCAGTTCTAAAACTGCTATTGCACCAGTTAATCAAATATTTATGCCACGGGTCATATTTAAGGATTCTTAAAATATTTACTTTTATAGAAAATTTGATATATTGCATTGATATACAACATGATACCAAATAATAATCTAATAAATTATGAAACACTAATTTAATAATACATATTATTAAACATTAAACTATTAGCGCAATACGTGTGTGGTAACTAGTTGAATTCATACAAATAAATAACTCATTTTTATTGCCTTCCAAACGTTGGTCAAATTAGGGCAATCAAACAAAAAACAAACAACCCAAACGTACGATCATGCCTCCAAGAGTCCAAGGTTGCTTAAACACTTCAAACATAATAGTTTGGCAACAATAAGTCAATAAACAAAGCAGTGTCTGTAGTCTGTCTCTATCCAACTTTATATTTTTATAGTTTATGCATTTTTTAATTTTACTTGATCCAAACTTGTTATAAAACGTTATAACAATTTTTAGTTTTTTTATTAGTTTTCGACCTCAAAAATAAAAAAGTCGACCTTGTCCAAATGAATAGATGATGCACGAAACATCATAGTGTCCTTTCAGCCATTTCATCAAATTGAATCATCTTAGCACATACACGTGAGGCAATCAACATGAATGACTTAAAGATAAACTTCACGTACTCCTTGTTGGCATGTCTTCCATGCATGATTAACACTATAAAAACAAGTTTTCTTAACAGAAAAAAATGACTTTTGAACTGAAACTCTCTTAGTATCGTTCGATCTTACTATAACTTCCCGTCCATATATAAACTCTAATGATATGTATACTAAGAATAGCTCATATATAAAAATATTACTTTCTTCATCAATAATACTTCTAATTAACGCGTCAATATAACATGTTATTGGGAACAATATTACACGTTATTACCAAGTAATTAACATTATCAAGTTTAATAATTTCATTTAAATTAGTAAATACTTAATAGTACGAATATATTTGACACTACCTTTTCTTTGAGTCAATGAGATACACATTGACTATTGAGTAGACGACAGGGCATTGTTTGTTATACAAATCAAATACATTAATAAATGGTATCCAACTATAAATTATGACATAAACAAACCAACGCTGTACAAAAAATGATGGTTGTTAGGTTGTAGGGTTGTGTTGATTTAAATAATAAAAATTTAATAATAATTATTTAAAAGGCACTTCACAAATATCTCCACCTTACGAGGATAATTAAATAACTATGAAATTATTATTAATTGGAACAACAATTTGTATCAAATATGAAATTAGGTATACTCTAAAAAACAAGATTGTGCAAGATTTGAAATTTTCGACTAATCCAACGGATTTGAAATTCGAAACAATGGGTGGAGCGGGTATCCGAAACCGGATCTCATAACTGAACCATTCCATTAATTGTAGCAGGTATATTTAATCGGGTATGGTTCTTTAAAAAAATAAAAAAAAAAATACCCGGATCGTCCGAATACCTGAATATATATGCCTATATATGTGTTTAAGGTTTTTCCTAATATTAGTAATATGAATTATGGTTAATGATAATTTATTATGTTAAAAAATGTTACAGTGAAAGTTACAAATGTCTGGTTAGTGTTAATTTATTATATTAAGTGTTAATGTGGAACTGTGGAAGCCTTGAATTTATGTACATGAGCTCCAATACTCCAAATGAGTATTAGAGTATACGATGAACGTTGAAAGTTATGAACTTCAATTCAGATTAATTAATTATGAAATGAAAAAATAATAATTAATTTTATGGAATTATGGACCCTTGGTGATTTCGCATGTGTGGAAGCCCAAAATGTTAATGTACTTAAATATTGAATTGTGTCATGTGTGTGATTGTGTTATGCGTCTAATCACACTGACACTGACTTTATCTTATTTTCCCTACTGAATTATAATACCCATCTCTAAAGATAAAAGTATTAGCTTGTATAGTCAACTTCATATAGTATATATTGAGAAACCTTTTTTGGGGTGAAAGTTGTAGCTATGGAGAGAAATCAATCTCAGCAGCAAACTATGCATCCCCTCAATCTGTTTCTGCAAAGAAAAAAAAAATGAGATTGAATCAAGATCCAAAGTATATGATCGTTTTAAAAAAGATCAAATGCAGTAATGACATGGTTATTAGAGTAAAGTGTACTTATTGTGCAACAATGTTTGCTTGTGACTTGTGAGTCAAAAAGCATGACATATCTTAAGGCACCATATGCTTAAGTGCCTAAAGAGTCTACACTCCAAAACACTCCAAATATGTTAGACAATCACTTATTTCATTTTTGCATGTGGTTACTCCTATTGCAATTGACAATGGGGTTAGTGAAGGGATTTTAAGTACTTGGGTGTTCAATCAATAAGCAATTAAGAGAGCTCTAGCAAAAATGATAACAATTGATGAGCTTCATTTTCATATTTGTAGAGGGGTAGGGGTTTAGGAAATTAATTGTTGTTGCTTTATTGCATG